CTCCCTTCTTTCCCCCATCTCTCCCTCTCCCACATTCACTCCCCCTCTATCTCCCACCTCCCCCTCTCTCACCTCTATTCCCCCATCTCTCCCTATCTAGCCCCCCCCCCCCATCTCTCGTCTGCAGGAGACCTCCATGGCATCAGCGATCTACTGATTGCTAGTACAATGCTTTCCAGGCTCCTGTAGACAAAAATAATAAATGCACATCATTTTTTTTTTACCTGGAAAAAAATGTGCATTTATTATTTTTGTCTAAGAGGTGAACTTATCCTTTAAGGTCGTCTTGTATGGGGTTCTTCCTGTGTTTGAGGAGAAGTTGTGCATGTGGTACATTCATCATGCTGCTCCGAGGAGTGCTTAGTACAGCGGCTTCCATACACACAAATAAGGCTGAGTACACCAGGTGCCAGGCAGAGGCACTAGATTAGTGTTTTTATATATATATATATGTATTCTACAATAAAATATATTATGGTTTTACACTATGTGATTCCCCTTCCTGTTCTTTTTGTGATATCTACTCCGAGACTGCAGGAACCTGGAGATAATCAATTTAATTTGGAAATGCCCCACAAGCGCTGTAGACCACTCTAGAACTAGATGGTCATCTGCTGAGAGTGAGTTTTAGTCCATGTGGGGCACATTTGAGCACTTTAAACTAGTGGAATAAGTGAAGCACCATAATCAAGTTGGAGCACGGGGCACTTATGTCACCATTTGGGACTTTAAATAATGGCAATTATGCTGAGAACTACTGTGATGGTTGATTTATAGATGTTTTGAATTTTTTTAATATACACAGAGGATATGCACATATGATATGTACAATCTGGATGCACGGTCCAAACGTATACATATTTCTACAACGTTATTAGCCTTCCCAATATGTGCTATTCATGCTTTTATTGCTTTATTATTATTAAATCATTTCTGTACACAATTCCACTGTCTTCAAACGGTTATTGGATAGGAGTCAATAGAGATATGTGTGTGTAGTATATGTATATTCCCACACCAACATCCTATATCAAGACTACCCACGGCAAATTGTGCATGCTCGTGGAATGGCTTCAAACTGGTACTTAACCTCCATGTGTGATATTTTAAACATTTCTACAGGTTACCAGCATAAAGTTACAGAGGAGGTCAAGAGCTAGAATTATTGCTCGTGCTCTGACGTTCATGCTGATATCTCACGTGTGGTTTGAACAGTTTACATATGTGGGCGTGGCCTACCTATGCGTTCACCACAGAGGGAAGGGGGGCACTTTAATTTTTTTTTTCTTTCATTTATTTAAATTTATTTTTTACATTGTCCCTTTAAAAAAAAAAAATTTTTAAGCACTTTTATTCCTATCACAAGGAATGCATGCATCCCTTGTGATAGAAAATAAGTAGTGACAGGTCCTTTTTACGGAGAGATACGGGGTCAATAAGATCCCACATCTCTCCTCTACAATGTAAAGCATTATATCAAAAAAGCATTGATCTATTGCTTTAAAAAAAAAAGGCCTGGAACCAGAAGTGGCATAGAGATGAGTGGAGGCCATCTGTCTTTCACTTATCTCTATGCCCAGCACCAGGATTGTTCGGTGATTGCTCAGGCAAGGCTGAGAACCACCAAGCGGTGGCGGCAGCGGCAAGCAGGCGGCAGTGAGGGGAGGTGTGGATGGGGTTATTTTTTTTGTACATGCCCTGTCCCCCACCCCTCATATTCAGTGTTTTAGGTCATCTCAAGTAGCCATGAAACTGAAGTAACATGAGTCCTGTGATAAATGGTTAAGAAATTAGAATTCTTGGAGAACCTCACAGGACACCGGGATTCCAATCCTGTCTGTGTTCCTCATTGCTTGCTACAAAGCTAAAAGGTTAAAGTGGAGCTCCACCCAAAAGGGGAAGTTCCACTTTAAGGACTTGTCGCCTGCTCCCCGTTAAGGATTGGCACCTTGGGGAAGCAGGTACCCGATTTTGACAGGTATGCGCTCCCACTTCCACTGCGATCACCTAGGTGATCGGAAGTGGAAGTTGTCCTCAGTCCCCCCACCTCCCTCCTGGTACTATTCTGGGACACGTGACAGGTCCCAGGAGGCTACAGGACCATTTATAAGGCACAGCGCTACTTGTACATGCATAGTGGGCACCTGGCTGTGAAGCCGCAAGTCACAGCCGGATGCCCACTTGTTTATCTGTAGGTACTGTTTAAATAAAAATCTGATGTTTTTTCAAATATGTTTTTAAAAAGGTAAACCATTTTCATGGCATATACTTTTTTTTTTTACATGACTGTGTGCAGAGATATGAATTTTTGTTGTTTGTGGCCACACTGAAAGCTACACACATCTAAACAGACACCTGAAAAGTTTAGATTGAATTGAAATGATGTTTCTGCTCTGTTAAGTGCGGTCTTGTTAGTCGTGGTGATGGAAAAGGACCCCAACAGGTTTGCATATCAGATGTTCTCATGTTTGGGGGCTAAAATAAATGCTTTAAACCATTGTTTATTTTACGAAACAGTATTCTGATTTTTACAATAAAAGTATCTTTCTTTTTTTTTCTAGTTTTCATGTGTGCTGTTGACATCTTTGTGATCTTTGCTTGGGTAAAGGGAATACAAAAGAATTCTAGCATTTAGCTAGTTTTTTTTTTTTTTTTTTTTTACTTTTTTTGTACAAATTCATAAATAGAAACAGAGCACATATAAAAATATCTTAAACTTTTGGTAAATAACCACATCTAATCATACCCATTACTACATCATGCAGACTGACAGTCACTAATTGCAAATGTTGTGCAATGCCCTCTGGAAGAAGACATTTGTAAAAAATAATTTTTATTTTAGCTTGAAAAATTAATATAGCAACTATTGTCTTCCTCCAAGCCAGTGCTCTCCCAACTTGTCCCAGGGAGCCAAGGTTTCCATATAGTTTTTAGAATTTCTGTTGTTAACGTTTCTAAAGATATGATTGTAGATTCCATGGTTGAGGTTGTATGGCCTGATCAATTCAGAGAGAAAGCCAGGCTGTTTTTCCAGGGCTGGGTAGGCTGACATCTGCACAGGTTTACACATACCTGGGAACGTTTGAAAATGAGAGCAGAGTACAGGTGTGGAGTAGTCAGTGGGGATAATCACAGTGCATCCCACACCAAATGGTGCAAAAAGTGGAGGAGGCTTAAAGGATTGTTTCTAAATATGTCAATAACCAACCTGCCCATACATGGATTGAAATTCTGCCACTCATTGCTGAACTGACTACATTTTGATCCACTTATGGCCGGCTTAAGTGAAAGACCAAAAAAAGAATATATCTTGACTGGGATAAAAAAAAAAAAAAAAAAAAAAACAGTGTATACAACCTTGTTCAACAGGGAAAACAACTGTTGAACAAAGTGTGACTTAGAGTTGCAGTAAAGAAATTAGAGTGATATTATACCCTCAGTGTTTTAAGTACTTTCAGTAGCAGGCTTAAATAAGTTACTGAATATGCAGCTTTTTTTTATCTTCTTATCCTTATCCATGTTCCAGTTTAAGTTGGTGTCATGACTGCTGGCCTAGGTTTCCTTTTTCAGGCTCCTTATTCTTGCAGTGTCCTATGGAACCATCATTGGAGCACATAGCCCAGTAGCCTAGGATGACAGGGCACTCTCCTGCTAATCCCCCCCCCCCCCCTTTCTCTGAACTAAGAGACTGGCTCAAGGCTGCATTGTCCATTGTTAACTTTTTCCTGTAAAGACCTGAAGTTTAGGAAAGCAGCACCGAGAGAGCAGGAGCCAGCAGAATTGAAAGTTGTAAACTGCAAGGGCTGGGGTCAAAATGTTAAATTGCTTACTGGGGAATGTTAATTATATTGTGCTAAATGTGTTAAGAGGGTTTATAACTACTTTAACAGATCTAGGATCATTGGGTCAGCAAAAACAGTGACAGACCTTTGTGTAGCAAGTTTAAATAGCTAAAAGAGTGCTAGAATAGTGATGGAGAAGGACCAAGAGCCAAGCCAAAGGTTAATTCTGATGGGTGAGCACTGATGGAGAAAGAGGAATGAATGAAAAAAACAAGGTTAGTATGAAGAGGGGTTAAATTTGAATGGCAGGTAATGGAAAAATAGGATCAAGTGACTATAATAATATGACAGATCTAAGGGGACCAAGTGCTATGTGCAGTACTGGTGCTATTGTGATTGAGCCAAACACTAAGATGGCACTATGAAAAGGGACAGAGAAAGAAACACACAGAGATCAAGGTGTTCTTTCTGGGAACAGAAAAAACAGGGGAAGGCAAGTCAGAATGACAGAAGCAAGATGTTATACAGGGGAGGTGTGTGACCGTTTAGTCCTATACTATGCAGCTGGACAATGCAGAGGCAGTGCAGGTTCCCACCTCAGCTGTGCCCCCTCCAGCATGCATCTTCTGTCTTACCTACAACCCCCCGCAATCTAGCATCACTGGTTGTTAGGTTACAGGCAGCTGGTCCACACAACATCATGCATTTCTATGGTGCGGGTGGCAGCCTGCACCACAACAACCAATAACACCATGCATAGCCTGGATAAGGCAGGGACAGGGCATGCAGGATCACTGTGGGCAGATACAAAAGCAATGGAGCAGCAATTTGACAACCCAGCTAGGGAAATGGAATTCTGGCATTGCCGGGTCAGTTCTAGCAAGTTCCCAGGTACAAGTATACACGCTTCAGGGATATGACTAGGCATGTTTAAACAATTGTCTTTAAAATAGAAAAGAGTTTGTTGGTTGGAAGGTGCCTACACATCTAACAGCCAAAGTCTGTAGCCAACGGTTTAAAGACAGAACTGCTTCAGAAACTTGTTCTCTGGTATCCAAGATAGATAGTTCCTTCTCAGGAGGACTAAGGTTGGATAGGCCACATATTTCTTCTAATCAGCAATTAAAGGCGGCCATGGCCTGTACTCCTCAATAGGCCTTTTGGCAGGCCTCTGTCTGTCATCTTGTAGTGTTATAAGTCCAACATGGCTTCCTAGCCTCATTCTATCTCCTCCTCCTCAGTTTGGATTCCCATAACGTTTTCCTGAAATGAGAGAAAGTTACTTAAATGTTGCATGGAATGATTCTTACTACAGGTATCTTACCACATTTTAATTTCTTTGAATACATTGAAAAACTTTACAAAAATAAGCTGAAGATTATTATATTTTTGGTGGGAATACAGCTGCAAACACATTAGGTATGTGTGTGTATACCATTGCCAGCAGGCAGCTGCTCCAGGCAAAAGTCATCACTACAGTGACTCCTTCACAACCATGGGCTCCTAGAATTTGCCAGGGCCCATGCTGAAAAAGACTACTGGGACTCTGTAGTCTGTAGTGATGAGATCAGGGTAAATGTTTTTGGAACTGATGGCTTCAAAACTGCATGGTATTGCACAAGTGAGCAGTACAAAGAAAAATGCATGGTGCCACCAGTGAAACATGGTGGTGGCAGTGTCCTTCTGTGGGGCTGTATGAGTGCTGCTGGTGTTGGGGATCTGCATTTCATTTATGGTATCATGAATTCACAGAGGTACTGCTCTATATTGAAAGATAAGATGCTACCATCACTCCGTACCCTTGAATGTCTTGCAATTTTCCAACATGACAATGATCCAAAACACCCATCTAAGGCCACTGTTACATTTCTGAAGATGAACAGGGTGAAAGTGATTCAGTGGCCAAGTATGTCTCCTGATCTGAACCCAATTGAATTCAGAATGGGGAATTCTGAAGAGACAAGTTGAGCATCACTCTCCATCCAGCATCCAGGCTCTAAAAGAGGTCGTTCTTGAACAATAGAAAAAGATAGATGTTGCAATATGTCACCAACTTGTTCATTCCATGCCTAGCAGACTTAGTGCTTTCCTTACAAATCATGGAGGTCATACAAAATACTGGATGTAGTATTTTTTGTTGTGGGGTGTTAATTGAGATACTGATTAAAGTCTTAGGGGTGTACTCGTTTATGCTGAGTTTGTGTGTGTATATATATATATATATATATATATATATATATATATATATTTTTTTTTTATATATTGCTTAGCGCAGCGGTAGATGCGTTTTTGAGTTTATGCCATAAAGGGCCTGGTAGCCCACTTTTATTAAACAGGAACTGAAAAGTAGATATCTGTATGACTTGCGAGCCAAATTATATCCACCCAATATTAACCCCCCAAGATCACCAAAAAATGGACACAAACTGTCCCAAATGTAAATAGGATCGCAAACACTCAACACACAACTACCCTCTGTGTCCATAAAGTTAATAATAATTGTGTTGCGCTCCAGCGGTGAGAATCTCTATTGTTTGATAATTATATTTACCCATGGTAAACATATATATATTAGGTGATGTACAAAAAATATATAAAAATAAAAAATATATATGGTGTAACATCAATTGGTGAATAATCAAAAAATGTGAATTATATATACTTAAAAATAAAAATGAAATATATATATATACTGCAAATAAATAAATAATTAATTTTTTTGATTTAATAATGCTTAGCGCAGCTTTGTGCTTGATTAAATGCTTGATTTTATGTGTTCCGTATCTCCCTTAATTAGTGAAGATGTATAGCTCACCTCCTTATTAGCCTGCAATTAGGCTATACCCACTTTGGTTCACCTCCATGGAACCTGCTTAGATGGAATTCCTTTTACAAATTGTGAAATGTGGATATCTTATCCACATTTCACATGTGATCACAAAATGAAGCCACGTGACCAGTTACGTAACGCGTAGGGGTGGGGCTGCAGTGTCGCTCAGCAGAGCCGGATTGTTTGACAGACGGCGGGTGCATGACTCAATGGCGGATTACTCGTGCTGCGCGCAATTTATTTATACCTCATACAATATATTTAATGAGTGTACCTGTTGGAAGCAATAAAGCAGAAATTTTTTTAATAAGGATAAAACACTATGTTTGGCAATTTGTCCCCACATATGGAGAAACGCATGGAGAGGAAAGCATAAGGTTTGAGTATCGCCTGATTAATTTCCATATGGTTAAGGATAACGGATATCCACATTTCAAATCTGTAAAAAGGAATTCCATCTAAGCAGGTTCCATAGGAGGTGAACCACAAGTGTTATAGCCTAATTGCCAGGCAATAAGGAGGTGAGCATACATCTTCACTAATTAAGGATTCAAAGAGAGTCACGGATTCACAATAAGTCACCAAATCAAGATTTTAATCAAGCACAAAGTCACCGACATTATTATCACAAATTAATTATTTATTTATTTGCAGTTATATATATTTCATTTTTATTTTTTTAAGTATATATAATTCACATTTTTTGATTATTCACCAATTATGATGTTATATTGATTTATTTATATTTATTTTCAAGTTTTACATCATCATATACGTATTTCATATTATTATTTATATAATTTTTATATTTTGGATAATATATTTTGTATCACCATATATATTTTTAAAAAATTTATATAATTTTTTGTACATCACCTGAAAATATTATATATATTTAACCATGGGTAAATATAAAATTAAAATCAACAAATAGCTTCAAAACCGGGAGCAGCAACACAATTTTGAATTAGGAACTGAAAAGTCCTTTTGACACAAGGTTTCCCACGCAGGAGGTTTTAACTTCACTCAAAATAATTTTACATAGTGAAAATGCCAAGCCAAAATGGTTCTCTGGTTAGCAGTACCTATGCTTGGCTTAGTCTCCCAGACCACTGACTATTCAGGCTCTCTCAGCCTAGGTGACAGCTCCTTGCTGTTCAGACCCCACATGGCCTCTTGACAGAGTTTTCCCTGTACCACAGCTTGCTTCCTCCAGAGATTCACAGATTCCCTCCAGCCCCTTGGACTCACTGTCCACTGCAGCTTCCTCAGCCTTCCAGACCCTCTCTTGGTCTCCCAGACTCTCATAGCTGTCCAGATTTTTCCAGTCCTTAGGCCCGGAATCCCCCTCACAAGGGTTGCAGTTTCCACCAGGTGCTTTCAGCTCTCCTGAAAGGGCTCTGACTTCAGGCTTGCAGCAATAGCAACTGCTATTCCACCTCCACCACTAACTGCTGTCACAAGCCCATCGTTATAAAGGCTGTGTGCACATAGGCCAGGGTCAGACTGACAACTCATGGGGCCCCTGGGCAATAAGGGATCATGGGGCCCCTGTATCCTTGCCCACACTCAAAGCACAGCCAAAAAAAAAAAAAAGTACCAGGGGCATCTCATGGGACCCCCTACCTACTGACCTAGTGCCCAAATGGTCAGTCTGCCCCTAACCTGGGCACACACACTGCTGGTTGTCCACAACATCCGGACACAGGGTTGGAGATTCCATCCTGCCCAAGACTCTTAGGAATCTCTAAACCACAGATCCAGAGAAAGCTGCACAAGCAGTTTTCTCCACTCCAGATCTATGCTCTGTAGCACTGCACTAAGCAGACATGCAGACGCTGTGTCTTTTTCCCAGCCATTTTCATAGTGACAGAGCCTCGCACTGTTGGCACATTATGTAAGTATATATATATATATATATATATATACACACACATATACACACACACATATATATATATATACACATATACACACACATATATATATACACATACATACATACATATATATATATATATATATATATATATATACATATATATACATATACACACACACACACACACACACACACACACACACACACACACACACATATATATATATATACATACATATATACACACACACACACACACACATATATATATACATACATATATACACACACACACACACACACACACATATATACATACATACATACATACATACATACACACACACACACTTTGGTGGTTTGGTGCTGGTGATGGCATGGCCTAATTGAATGGGTTTTGTGGTGCACTATTTTTTTTTTTAAGCCATTGACAACCCATTCAAAATTACCAGGCTGCTTGAACACAATGTTTTACTATATGCGAACCTGTGCATGGGCTGTAAAGCATACCTGTTCTATCACATCAAGTAGTTATCTTTCCTGCTTAGCGTTCCCAGCCTCCACACACCAGGTATATGCAGCAATTACATGGATCGTAAGCCTGGTACACACATTGAGTTTTTTCCATTCAGCTCACTGAGAGATATCTGTACTAACTAAGCAATATTAGTACAGCGATCTCCCCCGCTGTGCCTTTGTGTTTTGACAGGGGGACTGCAACTCCTACCCCGTCTGCCAGAAAACACTAATCAATGCTGATTGGATGGTTGGTTTCCAGCATGTCCCTTTGACAAAAGCCGGTCCTGCTTCTGTCAAAAAGGAAAAAAAAAAAAAAAAAACTGTACACACAGTACAATTTCCGCTGAAGCAGCATATATTCAGACCACATATACCCAGAATTATGGGTAAAACCTCCTTTCCACTTGCCATGCCCGATCAGTCAGTCCCCTGTAGGCTTCTATGGGACAGTTTCCTGATACAGGATGTGGGCCAGGAGGTTGGTAGCCAAGTTAAACGAACGACACACAAAATCCAGAAAAAGGTTGAACATTTAATGTATTGATGGATTGCAGGTAAAACAGATAACAAGGTAAACTGCAATCCACAATCACTAGCATTAGTAAAATGGCTGTAGCAACTGTGGCAGAACACTTGCAGTAACAGTTCCAGGCACTGTTGTAGTAGCACTGACAGTACAAGTGCAGTAATGTCAATATTAGAAGTCACAGTGATGCTGGAAGTGCCAACAGTGTAGCTTCAGTACCACATGATATCACACAGGCATAGCCTACATTAATGAAGCAGCATCTGCAGAAGAGGTGGCTGACTGGCAGAGTGGTGGCACTTGAGGAAGCACTACAGGTTCTTTGAAGTAATCCCAGAGACCAATGAACAGCAGGGCATACACCAGTGTCCCTAATCACTCCGGTCTCAAACAGGAACCTTTCCCTAGGGTAAATTACTGTCCATGTCATGTATGATTCCCTGCCTACTCTAGCCACTTGTAATTGTGCACCAAATCAAGCAGGTCACTGATATTTATAAACTCTCAGTGTTGCAGTGTCCAGTTGGACCACTGCTTCCCTGGTGACACCTACGAAGTCTGCAGAAGAGCACAGTTCCTCCTAGCCTACATTCCATCTGCATAGCAGCACAGCGCCACCTACAGAATGGAGGCTAAACTGCATCAGTCTGCACCAAACAGTTGAGGTTTTCAACTGCAGGATGTAAGGGCAACAGGTTGAGGCCATGGAATCCAGGTAGCTATGCATCTTGCATGGGAAAAAAGGTTACTTTTCATAGCAGAGGCTAGGCAGGAATGATAATGGTAATTTAAGTCCCAAAGAGTTCTTACAAGTTTTGCTCCATTTTTGCTATCAAGGGTCTTTCAGCAAAAGAAAACGTTTGCAGCCATAAAATGTATATGCTTCTACAAAAAAGTTACAGAGTAACATAATTCTTGCAGTCTGACAGAATGAAAACAGATTTTTTTGCTTTATCTTACCCATCCTCCTCTGCTCTGAATCCAGGGGGAGTAGTTCTCTTTGAGATATCGGGTGCCAAAACCAAGGATCTTGTTCATTGGTTGATTTTCTAGTGTGGTGAGGGCAGTGGTGGCATGGAGGCACATCGCAATCTTACTAGTTTGCTGCTCTTCTTCTGCATCATAGGTGGGGACGATCTCCAAAAGAAAACAGTCTGTCACTTTCTTGTAGAAGTTGTATGACCACAGCCCTCTAATTCTTTCCATGAGAGTTCTTTCCTCCTTTATCTGAAAAAAAGTAAAACCTGCTTAAAAAAATTGCTTTGTATTTATCTTTTTAAATTGGGCTCCAAATTAGGCACAAAAACTCTTAAAAACTGAGCTCTTGGCAGATATAAAAAAACACAGGCATGTAAAGCAGATAACAGCCTACAAATTATTAACTTGCTAAAACATAAAATAACAAAACCAGCATTTGTTGCAATATTCACCCCCCTCTTTTTAATGCACATGTATGTAGTATTCTCATATGTGTCAGGAGTAGGATAATTTATTACTTTCTTTTTTAGGTGGTGGGTCATGGTGTAGGCCTAAAAATGTATTTCTAAAGTGTACAAAATTATTTTTCTTACTATATTTGACCAGTTTTTGTAATAAAAAAAAAAATCTGGAGATATCCATTAAAGCCTTGATTTTTTTTTACTTTATAAAAAATATAAATAGTATAAAAAGTTTACTATAAAAAATATAACAATATAAAAAGGGGTCATGTTTGAAAAAAGGTTGAAAAATGCTGGCTTAGATAGCTGGTTTACTACTCGTGCTGTAAATCCAGCCCACAGCATCAGGATTTTAGATTAAACACAGCTGATTGTCTCAGAGGAGGATCACCCTCCCTCCTCTTCTGCTGTATAGACGTATCATCTAGAACTTGACTCTGAAGGTCAGTCAAAAAGCACATGGCTAGTGCTGGGCTTTCTAAATATAAAACCCAGCATGCACAGTACACACAGTAGTAGTATGTATGTTAATTCTTTTTTCTTTTCTGTGGAGTTGTGTCTGTTGTTATCAGCATAATTAAATTGTGTTTGCCATCTATGAAAGTAGACTGTGGGGTTTAAATGATACCTACTGCCAACTAATCCAACATTCCTCAACAGTTTGCATTCCCAATCTGTTAAATTCCCCAATACATTGTGCTGATGCCACTCCAAACTTTCTGGATGAAGTCGTAGCACCACCTACAGACTGTGGATTACCTCCTGGTAGGGATCATAACTAAAACATGCTGTAAATCTCACCTGGTCATTCATTCTGTCTCCTGTTGCTCTCAGAATCTGGACGATGTTGGCAATTAATTCATCTTCATCTGTGAAAGAATTTGAAGTGAGTGTAATTAATTCTCCTAGAAACAGGTCTTACAACAGAGATAACAATAGAACCCACTCTGTGCTGCTGGAGGATCCTGGTACTTCCTCTAACTATTTTCTGCTGAAATACTCCTCACTCCTGGAGGACTTCTCTCTCTAAGTCTCTTCTTTTGAATTATTCTGCACTTCTGGAGGACTCCTTCCTCTAACCTTCCTCTTCTGAAATACTCTGCACTGCGAAGAGGCTCTGTTCCCTTCTCTAACTCCCCTCTCCTGATACACTCTGCATTGCTGGAGAACTCTGCTCCTCTCTCTAACCCTCTTTTGAAATACTTTGCTTTGCTGGAGGGTTTGCTTCTTCCTCTATTAAATTCTCCTCTCTTGAAATACTCTGCACTGTTGGAGGACTCTGCTCCTTCCTTTATCTAAAGCTTATCATACATTGATCATTTATTTTCATTCAGCCCGCAGGCTGAATGAAGAAAATCTAACTGATTCCATTGGCTTCTTCTGCTGTCTATCAAATACTGAGAGGAGGGGAGGATAGGCAGGCCAAGCTGCGCAGTGTGTGTCTATAGGTGCACACAGCCTGGCTCAGGAGCAACCCCACGTGAGTGCCCCCATAGCAAGCGGCTTGTTTTGGGGGCACTAAGAGAAGAAGAGGAGAGGACTGCGCCGGCAGAGACCCCAGAAGAGGACGTTTGGGGGCGCTTTGTATAATACCATTGCACAGAGCAGATAGGTATAACACATTTATTATTTTAATTTTAAAAAAATATACCTTTACAACCACTTTAACTCTTTTCTGCTGGAATACTCTGCACTGCTGGAGGACTCTGTTCCTTCCTCTATCTAACTCTCCTCTCCTGAAATTTTCTGCATTGCTGGAGGACTCTGCTCCTTCCTCTGTCTAACTCTCCCCTCCTGAAATACTCTGCACTGCTGGGGACTCTTATGCTTCCTTTGGAAGCTCACTAAAGCTGATCATACACCAGTAGACTTATGTAGGAACTTTCATGTGAAAATTCTAGTTATAACATTCTATCTTGCCATCGCTAAGCAAATTTAGTTTAAAAGACCTTCAAATTATGTCCAGAATCTGTTGTTTGATTGGAATCTAGAACATATTAAACAGGCTATTACAATATTTGTTCATGTGATTTATCCTGAAGAAAAACCACATTCACAGTTAGAATCTCTTTTTAAGAAACATTTTCCATCCCGCTCCATTGAATTTTTTTTATAACTATTGTTGAAAACGAAGGTAGATTTCCACTAACCATTAGAAAATCAAACGAGCTTCCAGAAAACGAAAATGTTCATATAACTACTAGTGTGGTCAGCTTAAGTGTCCTTTCCTGAAATTATTGGTACTGTTGGAGAACTCTACTCCTTCTGTTTAACTCTCCATTCCTGAAATACTCTATCAAGCATAGCTTCTCTGTCTTGGCTGGCTAAATTTAGTGATATGGCTTTGTTGTAGCCAGCTGAGCTGCAATTTATCTTTTAATTCTGCTGTGAAAGTTTGTTGGACCTAGTCAAGTCTTGGAAGGTAAGCCAGAAGGTGTGGCTGGGGAAAAGGGCAAATATTTGGGAGGATCTGATCAGTCCCTCTCATGGGTGTGTTCAAGGGAAGCTACTTCTACTAGGCCTCAGTAAGTGCCATGTGCTGAAGGCCTGAGAAAACATACTGGAGAAAAAACCTTTCTGAAAGAATGTTGTAGGAGAGCTGGACAGGAGCTGCTGCCTGATCACTGTGAATTGGACTTTTCATCCATAGCTCCGGGTACTTAAGCTTTCAAAGCTGTTCTCCATGTTTCCTGTGATTTTAGGTTGTTTCATTCCTTTTGTCCGAGTCAGAGATTGTGATGTCATCAGCCCACCTCCCTGAATCGACCAATCAGAGGAAGCTTTTTATTCATTCACAGAATGAATGGCTAAGCACCACTCAGACCAACTCTGCTTTGTTCCGGGGGTGAGACTGGAAGTCTCTGTCTCACAGCCAGAACCCAGCACTGTATGTAGCTGAAGCTACATACAGTGCTTAGAGTCAGTGCAGCACTAAAGTCACAGGAAACATGTAGATCAGCTTTAAGGCTTAAGACGCCAGGAGAAGCTACTTAAGGACTGTGACTGCTCTCATAGGGTCATAGAGTTACTCAGCTGTCCATCAGCATTATTTTGGGATTGCTACTACAGTATAGGGCCTAATACTACTGGGTCAAGGTATTCAAGAAGCAAGTTTTTCTTGCTCTTGGTATATTCTGTACCTTTCTGCCTTCTCCCTGCATTTTTGTTCAAGACCCATAGTAAATCTTAAAAAGACCCTTCAACTTAAACTTGCATTTGTCAGTCTACTACTGAGACTGGAAACAGGGCGGGCAGCCTTTGAAGAGGTGAAAAGGGACCCCATACATTTCCAGTGGCCCCTTCAGGAGTCAATGCTACAATAGTGGTAACTTTGTAGAATACGGTCTTCTCACACTTTTGTGCGCTTAGAAACCTTGGAAACAACTAAACTGCATATTCATTATTATGAAGAAGTCACAAGAAGAAGAATATTTTCATGATTTCTCATTTCCCCCCCAAAAAAGGTAGGTTGAATAAGACAATGTTTAGCACCCCACAACAGTCTATTACAATCCAGATCATTTAAATATGAATGGTTGCTAGGGGTAACTGCTTTCCTTACAGTGATCGCTATGTAACTGTATAGTCCTGCTGCTTACCATCACCATCCTGCTGGACACTGGAAACACGTCTATACATCCGGAAGCCATTTTCTTTTTCTTGCTTTTTAATCTTCTCTACAATGCGCTGCACCCCTCTGACAATACTCCTGGCTCTCTCTTCCTCTGGGTCCTTCGCTATTACCAGAAAGAACATTGACAGAGGCGAAACATTAGTAGGAATGAGCAAAATCAACTGTTTTTGCTTTGTTAAGATTTCATTAAAAAAAATTGCAACTTTTTGGCAAAATGCATTATGTAAACCCCAGCTATAAACTTCTCTTCTTTGCTCTCTTTTGGTCTACTAAATATGCCACTGAAAAATGTTTTGTATTATACGATTTTAAAGAATGCTTGTTGATCCTGTCAGAAAATTGTGGGCTAATAACGTTCTGTTCTGTACTCATGTTCCTTACATTGTTCCCACCTGTCTCACTTGTTCCCACCTGTGGACTGCCGAAAACGTTTCCACTATAATATGGAGTAAAGAAGGGGGAGGCATCTTGTAGTCCTGTCCAAGTGTGACAATGATGTTTCTTTATAGATACAGTACACCAACAAATGATGTCACCAGGTGCAAAAATAAAGAAAAAAAAGTTATTGAATCTAAAATATATTACATTTTTCATGGGTTTAGATACATTTAATGGTTTTTAGGGTTGCAGTTACCTTTTAATGACTATTGAAGGGGGGGGGGGGGGGGGGGGGGGGGGGGGGGGGGGGGGGGGGGGGGGGGGGGGGGGGGGGGGGGGGGAGTCCATTTTAACTTTTTTGGTAATTTTTTTAAAATGAGTTTATATTATTACATAGTTAGTCTGGCTGAAAGAGACAAAAGTCCATCCAGTTCAACCATTAAAAAAAAAAAAAAAAAAAAAAAAGTTATAATCCTACACCCACAGTTGATCCGGAGAAAGGCAAAAAAACAGCAAAGCATGATTCAATTTGCTCCTGCAGAGGAAAAAAAAATTCATTCCTGATCCCCCGAGAGGCAATCAGATATTCCCTGGATCAACTTTACCTATAAATGTTAGTATCCAGTTATATTCTGTGTATCTAAGAAACAATCCAGGCTTTTTTTTAAAGCAATCCACTGAGCTGGCCAGAACCAACTCTTGAGGAAACCTATTCTACATTTTCACAGCTCTTACTGTGAAGAAACCTTTCAGAGTTTGGAGATTAAATTGGTTGCCCTTCTCTGTACTTTCTCCGGTTCCCCAATGTTCTTTTTGTGAATTGGAACCCAAAATTGAACTGCATATTCCAGATGAGGTCTAACTAATGATTTGTACAGGGGTAATATATATTTCAAAACCGTGTAAGGACTTTCTAACCCCCTTTGGCCATCCAAAAGCATATAAGTGTCAGCAGGAAGGTGGGCCTCATATATGGGTCACTATATTGTACTGTGAATGAGCTCAACAACGCACCCCCAGCACTGTGACTGCACTGTTACTGACAGCTCCCGGTCAAATATTAACAATTGGAAACTGGAAGGATTGACTCCTAACCATGTGATCACTGTGATAACTGTTCACATGATTAGGAAGTCCAAGAAAGGGCTCCAGCGTTATCATTTCTGGTTGGTGGAAAGAGGTTAGGAAAGATATTTCCTATTCCAGATTATGTGCACCACTAGTTCCTGTTAGGCCCCTTTCACACGAAAGGTCTGATCAGGTCTGTCAGTTTTTCAGGCAGACCTGACTGGACTCTCCATTGACCCCTATGGACTGGCAGATGTAAACAGTCTTGGGTCTGCTTACACCCGCCTACTTCCAATCCGATCCAGTACGCTAAAAGAAAACAGAAGGGGATCCTTCCTATTCTGTCTAGGTAGATCAGATAGGGGCACAGTCGGCTCCGCTGTCCATTAACACCTGGCCACCTATTGAGCAGAGCAGGCTTTGTCTGTGTCCACTGTGCATAAAGTGAGTGGACACGGACCAATAACACTGTTCAACAGGTAAAAAGTTTTGGGCATAAAATTAGCTAATCTTACATAATTTTGGGGTGCTGAAAACGAAAATGACCCTAAAAAATGTTGATTGGCTCTAGTTTCCATGATATATTCACCCGTCTAATGACGTAAGCCATTCAAAATTATGATGCAACTTCAGCTGCATATTGCGCAATTGATACTGGTGACCAATAGAAAATTGCATGTATACTGAGATGATGCAATATTAGCCTTTAATTGCATCACTTCACTGCATAAAAGCTGCAGTATCTGTAGCTGATTGTAGTTCGACAGCGTCTTTACATTTCGTTTTATGCTTATATAGGCTACTCAGTAATGCCTCGAACTTGTGTGAATAAAGCAGATAATTTTCTGCTATATCTGCGGTGAAATAACTTTTATCTCACAAAAAAGGAGGATAACAGGAATGATTAAGAAAGCCTACAACTTGTATTTTGGCTGCAAGATAGGAGACCAGGACAAGAGCTGGGCACCACATATATGCTGCAATTCTTGTGGGACGGCACTGGAGCAATGGTTGAATGGAAAAAAAGGCATCTATGCCTTTCGCTGTGCCAATGATTTGGAGAGAGCCAACAGATCATGTTAGTAATTGTTACTTTTGTATGGTGCCTCCAATTGTAAAAGGGCTAAATAAGAAGAAAAAGTTATCTGTGCACTATCCAAATATTCCATCGGCAATACGTCCAGTTCCTCATGGAGAGGGGCTACCAATTCCTAAAGCACCAGAATCCTTCGTGGTTGAGTCAAGTGAGGAAGAACCTGAAGCGTGTAGTCACGTGCAGTTGTAAGAGATAGCCCTTTCCTCGAATACAAGAGAAAAGCCAAGAGAAGCAAAACCGACACAAACTGAAGACAAAACTAGTGAGAATCCTAAGTATTAAAAATGATTCAACTTAGCTTATGGCTATAATTTTTCTTGGTAATCCTATGCAATATATTATGCCATTTAGGCTTTGTTATGTAGTCAATATCACTTGCTTTATATTTGTGGAAAGACATCTATCTATATAATTATTGTGCATTATGTAGTCATTACGCCTATAGTAGAAAACTTTCCGTTTACAGAAAAACTAGAGCCAATTGACAAATTTTATTGTTATATTTGAACTCAGAATGTGAAATTCATTAAGAAATGGATCCTTTTGTTTCCAAAACTGGCAAAAAATAAAAAATTTGTTGAACAGTGTAATCTGCCCACTCTGCTCTGATCAGCAGAGAATCAGCTGACAGATCCCCTGCTGATTTAAACAGAGTCCCCTCCATCTGAAATCGGCCTAACCCTCACAAACTACCTCCAAGTATAACTCTGGCAAAAATTTACTTTTTTTTGCAGTATATAATTAAACAAATTGTAGTCAATGTACATACACATGTGCTACAATTAGACACCTGTGTGATTAGGCTTTAATGGGAGCTGTCACATCTTTAATTTGGTGAATAGTTTATGGTGGCCATACAGGCTTCATTTTTTTTTTTTATCTGATCAGTGGGCTATTTAACCAACATTTTTTAATCCACAAACAGTTAAATAGCATAACTTCCCTTCTGATCAATTTAGTTCTTATTCAATCAAGCTGAGTCGATTGGCCAGGGAGGAAAGTTATCAGTTGTTTTGCATCAATCTACAGCATCAAGATACTTTGTTTATGAATACAATTGTATTTTGATCAGATTATGAGATTACATGGTGGAAACAGGGATGCGAACGATAATTTATGATTGATCAAAATCAACTTCCTTGCGTGTGGCAGATCGATTGAATTTGTTGTTAATTATAAATTGATTATTCCACACAGATATTTTGTTTTGTGAGGGTCCCTTGCAACCACAACATTTTACCAAAATTCAAACAGAAAAGCTGCTCTTATGCTCTTTTCTCCTTTGTATCCAAACACGTTTTTTTGCAAACTGAACAAATTCACAAATCCAGACAGAAGCACACTACTCTCCGCCAGACTGTCTCCACCTTTGACCCATTTTACCCACTTGGGACTTAGTTATAGAGGTTCTTCATGACCAAGCTGCTATTGGGGTTAAATATGTGGAGGAACGTACCTGAATGAACATGCAATGACTGAAAAATGTGAAGTAATGACTTTGGGGGCTAAAAATACACCAGGGGGAGAATCAATGGGGGAATCCAGGATGGAAAAAGATCTGTGGATCCTAGTAGATAACAGGTTCAGCAAAGGCATGCAATGCCAAGCTGTAGCAAGCAAAGCTAACAGAATATTAGCATGCAGAAAAAGGGTATTTACAAGCAAGAGAAAACAATCCTACCACTTTATAAAACTCTGGTATGGCCACATCTGGAGTATGCCATCCGATTCTGGTCACCAGGTTGAACTGGATGGACTGTTGTCTTTATTCAACATTACAAACTATGTAACTATGTAACCTTTGGCCTAAGAATACCTAGAGCGGTATAACTTTTTACTTACTCTTTCCCAGAGAATCATTCATTGTTTTCTTCTTGCTCTTTGGTGGTCGGAGGCATGCAGGAGTCAGTGTTTTTGGCCAGCGCTTCTTTTTTTGTTTGCTTTTGGGGTTTTTTGTTTCCTCGTTGGCTTTTTCCTCCTTCCCATTACTGATGGTTGTCTGGCCCACCGCCCTCTGCAGTTCCAAAAATTTACTTTTAGAAAGTGAGCGCTGGGCATAGGCCATCAACACCCGGTACTCCATGGTGTCCTCGTCTTCCTCCTGGAGGGGAACCTCGTCCATAGTGTGCTCTGGAACTGACACCATTCTGACACTGTGATGACAAAACAGAACTTTCATGATGTACCCGCTCACAAAAAACATTAAACATGCACATATGTACTTTGCAGGCAGATATAAAAGACACAAATTAACGCAGCTCTGTCTTCATAAACACATCACTAAAGCAGAGTTCCAGTCATTTTTGTGTTCAATAAAACACACTCACCTGTCCAGGGATCCATCAAAGTGCTCACCCGTGCCATCTCTTCTTCTCCCCCTGGCGCCGGCATCTCAAATGGGGGCACCTAGCTGTGACAGCTTGTGGCTTCAAAGATGGGTGACCACTGTCACGCTGCACCTCCTGAATGGTCTGACAGTCTTCTGGGACCTGTGAAGTGTCCCAGAAGACTGTGGGGGGAAAGTGGGGGGGCCGAACTTCAGCTCAGATTGCCATGGTAAACTGAACCGAAAGTGGGAGCAGGTACCTGTCAAAACCAGGTACCTGCTTCCCCCAAAAAGTGCCAAATGGGGCAGTGGAGGGGGGGGGGGGGAGAGAAGCAGACAGACATTATGATATATCTGTATGACATTTCAAATAAGTTCAAAAAAAGAAAAAGAAAAGGGGAACAGTGCGGTGATCCTGCCAGACCACACCACACACCAGCCGCTGAGTTACAATGCAGCGACTGATGTGAATGGACCCTTAAAGTATTTTTTTTAAATGTAAGCAGTGCAAGTATCTGAATCTGAGTTTGTAGCCTTTAATAATCCCTGTAGAGCAGAGCTCAGACTGGAAGAGGGCTAAGCAGCCAGTGAGTTGTGTTGCAGTGCTCATGTGCTAAGAAACATGCTGATAGGGGAAGAGAGCAGAGTGACAAGGGAGAGTTCCTCAGTCTACTGTTTCTCCTCTCACTGACCGATCACAGGTTGGGGGAGGGAAAAGACCTGTGCACATCGTCACTTCCTGGTCCCAGCAAGAAGGGAAGGAGAGCAGACGTGTGTCTGCTCTCCTCCCACCCCACTACACGCCAGCACCCACAAATGGGCAAGTGGAGCCCAGGGGCTGCCAACTTAGTGGGGTGTGTGGAAGTATTCAGGAGGCACCATAGCCACAGCAGGGCTAAATGGAAACAAAAACTACCTACCCGGTGCCCGGAACTGCATGTCCCTGGCGTCGGGCGACACAAATTGCAAGTCTCTGTAATAGCAAGAAATATACTGTAACATTTTTTAAAAATATATTTTTTTACTATGTTGGACCATTATTCCTATGACAAAAAAAAACAAACAAATTATATCTGTTACTATTTACCACTAAAAGAAAGCTCAGTTTTTCCTGGTCTAGTCCACCTGGCTACACAAAGTAGTTGTGACAGTATACCATTTTATTAACACATTTCATAGTTACATAATTTTTTTCCAGACATTAACATTTGTTTTACCCTCAGTCATGAAGGGGTTAAATATTGCTCAAGCAAAAGAACATAAGTAAAAAACACCAAAGCACAATATGTGAGTAAATTCAATAATAAATTTCAGTGTAAAAATGTCCATGAAGGTGCATTTAAATGTGGTAAAATAAAACCAGTTACATGATTAACTTAAAGGGACAGGTCACCTATTTTTTATTTATAGAAAGGGTATTGAAAGCTGTGGGAGTTTATCAGCTGACCCTGGGAGGAGGTGTAGATAGAGAATAGAAGAGGTCTGAGGACGGAACTTTGGGGGACCCCTTATGGGAAGAGGAGAGGAAGAAGTACAGTTGTAAGTGACACTGACGGTGCAGTAAGATAGGTAGGAGTAGCACCAGCAAAGAGCAGAGTCACTAAAAAAAAAAAAAAAAAAAAAAAAAAAAAAAAAACATACAAGGAAACAGTATATTTCAGTGGTGTGTACAGGAAGCTCTGCTGAATACACATATCAAGCACTGTCTACACCACAGCCCAATGCCTTTGATTTACTTGTATTTGAATTTGTGTTTTGGGGTATAATATTTGCTACATTTCATGCTTATATGTATGTGTTGAAAGGACATTTTATACTGCTTCTTCTAAATAATTAAAAAAAAAAAAAACACACAAAAAAAAAAAAAAAAAAGTCACTGATGTCAAGGGAGAGGAGATGGTTACCATCTGTATCAAAGGCAACAGAGAGAAGAGTAAGATTATGAACTAGTGACTATTGATTTTAGCAAAAAAAGCCATGTGATCACTGTGTCCCCTCTGTTATGGGCATCACATGGATTTGTATATAAACAAAGCCATCCATCACTAGTGACAGGGTGGCCATTGGTTTGTGCAGTATTTTTGCAAATTTTTTTTTTTGAGAGAAAAAAAAAAAAAAAAAAAACAGTATAAAAGATAGTGTTGTGATTAAAACAAATACTTGTGGGTTTAAGGTGTCTTTTTTTTTAAATTTAAAACGGGTGCATGTCCTTTGCATGGCATCCTTTTTTCTCCTTTCATAAAGTTTGGAGGCATGGCTTTTCAGCAGTCAAAACCAGGTTCTTTCCTGCAGGGAAATAAAGCAACTGATCATCTGCACACCAAACTCATAATAATAATTTGGAGAAAATTAAGCAGACCTCCAGCCAAAAAATAAATCGTCTTGCATTTGCCTATTTGAATGTCAGTCATTTCCTGAACTGTTTCTAGGGATTGTCATTGGAATGTGCCAGAGCCGGATGGGCAAGTCACCCTCTCCCAACACTTCCTGCTGTGTATACTACAAGTTGTATTACCCTTTTACCTGCTCTGATATTTACCTGCCAAAGTTATCACTCTGCATGGAATATTCACTGCCCAGCAGTTTATTACATTTACAGATACTGATTACACAAAATGAGATCACTTCTTGTTTCAGAAATACACTAACAGGAAATGGAGTTCAAAAATAGGAATCCTGTAAAAACGCAGCATTCACCAGCAGATATTAATCTTATGCCCTGGCAGTCTGATTTTAACCCCTTTCCAGACCAGGCCTAGGCTCTTTTGGGTGTGGTTTGAGTGTGGGCGAGGATACAGGGGCCCCATGATCCTCTATTGTCCAGAGGCCTCATGAGTTGTCAGTCCGCCCCTAGGTGGGGGGACGCAGTTCCAGCACACCCAGCACTGAATGTATGTAGTGGCAAGGAGTACTTGGGTGTGTTGGAAGGTCTATTGATGCTGGCTGCTGGGGGATCTATGGTTACTTATGGGGATCTATTTTTGTGTGCTGGTTTATTGCTGCTAGGAAGGTCTGTTGTTGCTGGTGGGGGAATCTATTGCTGCCGGGGGGATTATTGCTAGAAGGGACCTACTGTTGAGGTAGGGGGGCTGTTGTTGCTGGCTGATAGACAGTCTATTGATGCTGACTGCTGAGAGAAAACATTTCAAACATTATATATATATTTTTAAGCAGAGGCCCTAGAAAATAAAATGGTGAGAGAATAAAATGGTGGGTTTTGCAATTTTTTTATGTCACATGGCAACTTTTGCAAACTAAATAAAACATTTTTGTAAAATATAACAAATGATGGTATGCCAAGTAAGTAGATACCTAGCATGTCATGCGACACTTTAACCACTTCCAGTCCGGACACTTTTACCCCGTTCCTGTCCAGGCCAATTTTCAGCTTTTAGTGGTATCACACTTTGAAGGACAATTGCGCAGTCATGCAACATTGTACCCATATGAATTTTTTTACATTTTTTTTTGAGACAGATAAAGCTTTATTTTGGTGGTATTTATTCACCACTGGGATTTTTTTTTTTGCTATGTAAATGAAAAAGTCCTAACATTTTGAAAAAAAGTGTTTTTCTTATAAAATTTTGCAAATAAATAATATTTCATCATAAATTTTGGCCAAAATGTATTCCGTTATCTTTTTATTAAAAAAAAAAAAAATAACCCAAATTAGTTTATAACCAAAAATTATAATTTGTAAACTTTTTTTTTACATTTTTATTTTATTTTTTCATATTATTTATGTTTTTTTTTTTACATACTGTTACCCTAGCAGTACAGTGTCACTATGGTGACACTGTACTACTTGTGTGGGGTGATGAAGATTTTTTTTTTTTTTTTACACTGATTGCTTTTACACCCATAAAGGCTGTAAAAGCAATCATTTCTCCTTCTCTCTAGCTGCATTCTTGCAGCCATTGAGAACTACTTTGTGAGCTGTGATTGTTGTGAATAGCCTTGTACCATGTGACCTCTGTGATCATTCACAGATGTCACACGTAGTAAGCAATGATGTCAAAAGTGACATCTTGCTTACTACTCTGCATGTGATCACTGATTGTTCCAACAAGACAACGACCCCAAACACACCAGTAAACATGCAACATCTTGGTTCCAGACCAACAAGATTGACGTTATGGAGTGGCCAGCCCAATCCCGGATCTTAATCCAATAGAAAACTTGTGGGGTGACATCAAAAATGCAGTTTCTGAGGCAAAAACCAAGAAATAGAGAAGAACTGTGGAATGTAGTCCAATCATCCTGGGCTGGAATACCTGTTCACAGGGCCAGAAGTTGGGTGACTCCATGCAACACAGATGTACAGCAGTTCTCAGAAACAGTGCTTATACAACGAAATATTCATTAAGTGATTCAAAGGAAAGCAAAATCTTCAAACATTTTTCAGTTTATATAGTGAATGTTTGAGTTTGTAAAGAAGAATACAAACACTGCTATTTTTTTGAACAGTCTAATATTCACTTTTCTTCAATTTTTTTTTAGAGGTCGCTGCTCATAAAAAACAAAATGGCTGAGACCTTAACAAGATAGCTGTCGCGTACAGCTTCCAGGTCTCTGTTGTGCACAATCGTTACAATATCAAGAAGTAGGTTATACTGTACTACACCCCCAGCATGACTCACTGCACATGAGTCATGCATCCCTGGGATAACCACTGCATATGATCATAAAATCGATCACACTCCATGCATATAACTATACACCTTCAACATAACCAACTACCGAACACAATCATAATATAATTCTCCTACATTCTATAAAACACTACACCCCCAACATGACCGACCACTAGACGTGAACAT